TGCACTCCTCTTCAGAACTCATTCAGCCTTGAAAAAAAAGAGGATATGGAATGGAAGGACAGAAGACTCCTAATATTCATAAAGACCTAGCTATACGGGCAACTACGAATCCGTATTACAGATCTCAAGGGCACTAAACTTTGGGGAAGGATTCATTTCATGGAAATTAGAACAGATACAGGGATCAAATCCTTATTGTAGATGAGACATAAAACAAAATATGCAAGCCGAAAATTCCAAAAACGGTTTCGAGCAGTTTGACTGTTGAAGTGATAGTAGGCCAAATCTAGCGAAAGATGGGAGGCCAAACTGCTCTGAAAGTTGTTCAAAACTATAATCGAAGATGAAGTAAGGTTCCGAGACCCACTGGCCAGTAAAAGAAAAGCGGATTTTTGCAGAAGCTAAGCAATTACGACATAAACACGCAGAAACTTTGGAAGGGAAATTCAGGGAGAACGGCTAATTTTGTGATTTCCACTGAAACCATCAGCTTTTGAGGGAGCGAAAACGGTCATGAAGTTTCGAATTTCATCGTCATCCCTAATAACAAATGATGAAAACCATCAATTTGCCGTCGTGCACGCTTTAGCGGGCGTTAACCCACCTGGAACACTAAAAAAGGCCAATAGTGCATGACGAGGGAGCAGAACAAAAAACGCGTTGTGCTTTTAACGTTTTCTGCGGACCATTTCCGGAGACGAAACTTGGGAGAAATTATGTTCTGATGTCAATGATAAAATTTTACATAGGTATCTCAAAGATTACGCCAAATTGTGCAGGCGATCGAGGCACTGAGAGGGTCTTAGCTTAGAATTAGTCGCGTGACAAACGAACTGAGTAGCAGGTGAAATGTGTTCCTATGAAAACCGTCCTAAAACCCAAACCTATTTCCCCTTCAGCAACATGGTAACCGACTAAACGATGAGAACGAGGTTGTCCAGGTTGCTGCTATGATCAAGGATCATGTCCATGTTGACCATTACAGCGCTTGAACGATCGATGGATTTGAAAGGAGCGATCAATAATCGTTTCACTCTTTTTAAATCCATTCATTTTTTCACGACGGAATACCAACGAATGGAAAAAGATGAGAATGCTTCGGTCGGTCTCCTCCTGACTGAACCAAGAAAGATGAAAGAGCCGTTCAGGAGCAGGACATCATTGAAGCAGCCTAGCGATGTTGACTTCGCTTCGTACGAGTGCTGTTCCAGAAAATTGGGAGTCAAAGTGAGGAGAATCCCTTCCTCCCTCCACTATGCATGAATTCCAATGCTTTCATACATTTCGAAGTATAAACAGCGTGGACGTCGCTGGTAAGGCAATGCGGATGGCTAAGAAATCTCGTCACACCGTCGATGATGTTTCAGATGAGAAAGAGTGCAGCGAATCGAATTAAGGTGAGCGAACATCCGACGTATTCTATCGAAACAGAAAGAGGAAGAAAAGAAGTGAGTGGTGGCGATTAGAGGGATGAAAAATCAGATAAATAACGAATGACTGAGGATCTACATCAGTGCTAGGACACATAATCATCAATGGAAAAAAAGTTCCCAAGGGGTACGGGTGTACTAACATTCTGCTCGAGCAGTGAACAGCGGAACCAAAGGGACTGCCTCATCCGAATGAAAGTATCTTGATGAAACTGGCACATGCACAGTTGTTTATAGCACGTATTTCCGCCCATCTATCAATTTCGATGACGATTCGAAAACATCTGAGATAGATGAATCTCAGGAGAAGGAAATGCCGTAGTGGATTGAGAGAGGTGTCAGGAAAAAGCTGCAAACACGCAAGGATTTCGTACAGCAAGAGAAATTGGCTACTTTCAAGTGTTGCATCAGAGAAATGAAGTTGTTTTAAACTAGAAAGGAGGGTAACCAAGAAACAGTTGAAAATCAAAAGAGTAGATTCGATTCGTGAAAAAACACCAATGAATTCTAAGACGTGCAGCATTCCAACCAGGTTCTTTTCCATGGTATTCGTAGCTCATAATTTGGCAAACGCGGAAAGAGTTACTCCGAACAATGCGTTTCCGGATCTGAGCTTGATTGCCATGCCGACAGGTGTAAAGCACACGCGTTCAACTAAAGAATACCCCTCCCCTCCCTTCAAACGTCCACGCATACCAGCATAATAACAAAGCAGCAAATCGTGAAGGAAAGGTTTCGAGCTCTTGTTCAAAAGCTATCGAATAGTGCCATTTTGGACAAAGAGAAAAGGCTGGGAGGGACATAGTAAAATAAGGAGGAAGAAAATGAAGGGGTTGGCTCATTGGAAGCCACGATGGTGTGTACGCCCAACCGAGTGTAACGGATTGCTTTCCAAAACAATCTTGCCAAGGGCAATTTCGAACGCCTTTTCGGACCGAACTGCCACCGCTAGCTTCGAGCCAATCTGTTATTCAAGAACTGAGCGTTCAAGCAATTTCCATGCATATACGGCATGTGCAACAACATATCACGGGAAAACAGCAAGCGCGCTACGCATATCTCCGAAGTGGCCCCTAACAGCAGCAAACACTGCCAGCACATGGTTAAACGCACCCGAAAGGCCTGATTCATGCCATGATTATGACGACAGAAAGCAAAAGCGAGCTACGGGAGGTAGGACAGTTGTATAAAACCACCATAAATCGACGTGCACCTCTCCTAAGCTAAGCCACGCACTTCACTGCCTCTCTTGATCCGGGGGATCGCGACTGCTTTTGAATGTGCCATTTCTTCAGAGGAACGGCTCGAACCAAGTTCGAGCTCCAACATAATTTCGGTGGCATTTACTCCTGACTAGCTTCCCCCACTCTCCAATGCTAGTAAAACTTCGAATTGAGCATCTACACAATGATTTCTCGCCAAGAACTACATCATATAATAGCCGGCTGGTCGGCATTTATAACCACCGCACGACTACATGCACTTGCGTGCATAGCCACGATTAGGGATAGTGGGAAAGTAATCATGCGGAAAAATGAGAGTGCAGTCGAGATTCCTATCGAATTCTGCTGACTTGAAAGTGCATTTCGATCATTTCAATACTGGAAAATCATCGCCTGGGCGACTGTCATCTAGTAGTGGGCGCGGGAGTGGGAGTTTGGTCAGTAACTCAAAGAGAAAAAACTGGATACACAATAGTCCGAACATAGATTAGAAACCCTACTGTTATAGAGCAGGTAAGCTGAGTTATACGTCTCAAACAGAACCGGAGCACTCATCTGGGCTTTTTGTGCACTGTGCTCAAAACCATTAGAGCATCGAGGTCCAAACGCTCCACAGAATCCCTAGTGGAACGTTTCCCATGGATTTCCAGCACATACAGATGAGATGCCCAATTGGATGCGCAAGCACAACCCCTCTGTAAG